TTGTGTTTGCTTTGCCATGTATTACTGCTCTTTTGAAGTGTATGGTTGTCCTTTGTGACCAGTAGTGTCTTGTGTAAAAACACTTTTTTAGACTAAGTTGATAAAAGTGTTGATTAGATATCGTATGCCGGGTATCACAACAAGACAATTTTTTGTCCCTGTAGAGAACGATGCAAAGCATTGACGTGTACCCCATAACCTCCCCATAAAAATCTAAAAGGAGGCTGAGCAGTCTAGTGCTGTTTCACAGGGTCATATGAAAGGGAGTTGTCTTTTAGCTTTCATAGCTGAACAGATGTAATTAGTAACCCCATCGATGCCTAGATGAATTCTAATACCTAAGCTCTGGCATTACCGGCTTGCAGGAAGAGTCTCTGTCGTGTTCGCGCTGAAATTGTTGACTCTAGTACATCTAGTACATCTTAATAATAAGTGAGGAGAAAGTTGCAGAGCAGGTTTTTTATGTTAGTCTACCATGAGATGCAAACGCATAAGCTGTAAGAAAGCAGGGAAGTTAGCTATAATTGTAATGCTCAAAAATAGTTATGAGTGAAAATGCACAATATAGGACTCATCCTTCTTTGAAAAGGTATAAAGAACAGAACACCACCGGGCAACCATTAAGGGAATCATTTAACTATTATGCAGGTATGTTAAGGTCAGAAATTCCCTCCAATGTACCTTAATGATCAGCCAAATAAATATAGACTGCCCTGAGGCATAAAAGTATTATTAAAGTCATAATGTTTTTAAAGACGTTTTACTAACCCTTGCAGTGGGGCTCTCCCTGCACTGCAAGGGTTAACTGCTAGTTGTTTGAAGGGGTAAATAAAAAAAGTTAAACTCAGCTGATCCTCCGGAGCGTCTCTCCTACGCTGCAGCAGTCGAGGAATCCACAAGTCGTCCTGTGCACTGCAGTGTATAGGATGTGAGGACGACGAGGGGTATACCATCGATTCAGCAGAGGAGGAGAGGCTGGAGGGATCACTGAGGCTCAGAGGATCGGGTGAGTATAAATTTTTCTTTTTTTTTAACGCTAGGCAAAAACGAGCAGGAAACCCTTGCAGTGCAGGGGTAGCCCCACTGCAAGGGTTAATAACATTTCTGTGTGTTTCAAACACAGGGACAGCAAGGCAAGCTGCTTCCTGCTCCTCCCTTCTCCAAGCTAGTAGATCAAGGGTGGGCAACTCCAGCCCCCCAGCTGTGGTTTAACTACAAATCCCAGCATGCCTTTGCGAGTCATGCATTTACCTGTCAGTCTTGCAATGCCTCATGGCACTTGCAGTTCTGCAACAGCTTGAGGGCCAGAGTTGCGCCCCCATATTGGATGTATGGCTGCTGGACTGTGCTGTCCCTTTTTGAGCATGCACTGGACAGGAAGTTCAGGGAAGCTGAGCTGAGATAGTTGGAGCCAGCTATTCAGAAACATGATGATTTTAAGTGCTTGGGCATAATTGTAAAGAAATACTGTGCTGGGCAATGTATGTGTTTGATCTGGATTCAATATTGAAAAACGTTTAATACTACTTTAACTCTTCGCTACAATCTCTGGAATCCATAAAGAGTGTTGTAGGCACTCTTCTGAAATCTGTTTCCTGTTCATGTGACAAATGTCTCTACTTGTGACATGTTATTTTTACATGTTGGAAACATATACCTGAATTTGTTGCATGGAGGCATTACTGGGTGTGCATACGGTCCTAGGTGCATGTTCAGCCTTCGAGCTGCACACTGTCATTGGATATTATGCTGCTGTGAAAAGAACATCTAAGGACGCTGTGCCGACAGTGTCCTCTCTAAACCAATGATTGAGGGAGCGGGTTAGTGTGGCACGTCTGTGCTTGCTTTAAAATGAAATTGCTCTTATTCATCAACAGTTTTCTGGCTTGCTGCAGATATTGCAACAGATTGGGAAAGTGTCATAATAAGTAACTGAATCTGTTGAAGTAAACTGGAGCAAGGTTCTTTTCATGAATCAGACACAGGTTTACTGAATCACAGCCAATGTGTTTAAACACAGTAGAATCGTTTTGTATTTCTCAAGATAACAAAAAGATTTTGATAACAATGTTTTCATAAACTGGGAGATAAAATGCTTCCGTTGCTAGCAGAGAGGAGTCAGACCTGTAAAAGGAGAAGAGAGGGACTTTCCTTTCCGATGGGCTGCAATACCATTCTCTGCTTTATTGCAAAGTTATCGATCAACCGCTGGTATCTGACACTTTTTTTTTTAAAGATATGGAAGGGTTAGAATGCTGCAATGTTCTCCAGATTCAGTAATGGATATAATGTATAAATACAGTGTTTAGGTGGAGGTTCTGGGCTACTGCAAACCCGTAATGGAGATCTGAGTGGAAATCTCTGTAGCAGATACACAAATGGCAATACAAAACCCCTGAAAGGGGGTCCTGTCCCTGAATTAGGATATATATATATAGCCTTGGCAAAATATGTTGAAAGCTTTTTTATCTTAAACTGGCCATATACCTATAGATTATCTGCAGATTTTCTGAGGTCAGATGGTAAAGTGCAACAGATTCCTCCATCTCCGCTAAACTGTGTGGATGGAGGAATGTCCCGCTGGGCCAAATTTCAGTATCTTGCATGTCGGCCTTGCTTGCTCTCAAAATACCTGAACAATCTGATTGGATGCAGGCATTGTTCAAGTATTTTGAGAGCCAGCATGGCCGACTAGCAGGATACTGAGGCTTGGCCAGCGGGAGATTCCTCCATCCACACAGTGTAGTGTAGATGGAGGGATGTGTTGCTGTTTCTCCATCTGACCATAGATAATCTGTAGATGTATGGCCAGCTTTAGGGTTGTGGTTCATCTGACCCGGGGAAAATATTTTCTCAAATTCTTTTCTCCTGTTTTTACAACTCCTCCCTTATTGCTAGTGAGTGAATCATGACTGATGAAACAGAATGGATTCCTGATATTCATTGAACTAGGCAAAGTTCAGAGATCCACTAAATTCCAAACTAGTTCCCATGGAGAGTGCATGCTCTAATGGAGTTTGGGCTGCCTACCACAACCTATGTACTACCCATCTGTGAATGCAGTGCATCCAAAAGTGATCCTTTTTTTTTGCAGGGGATTTTGGGGTGGGTTTCTGTGATTTCATACCCCTAGGCAGGAAGTATTGCACCACACCAATTGCCTACACCCTCTGCAACTCAGAAATATTGGATCCTTCATAGTGACAGACTGAAGGTTCATGGGCAAGAGGTTAGGAGCCTGTGTTCCATTGGAGGCACACAAATGCAATTGTAAGGGGTCCAAAGGATATCTTCATTGGTCCATACAATGAATAAGTTTGTCTGTCAGAGGAGATCTGCAATATAATGAATATAAGCTATATCTAAGACTGATAACACATCAACTTTGCTATGTCTTAGGCAACAAGAGGAACCATAAAGGATTTCCAGTGCTTTAAAGCAAACGATGATGCAGAAGCTCTCCGCAAAGTAATGAAGGGTTTAGGTAGGTTTCTATGTTTTCATGTATGTAACAAAATAGCCAATACAGTAAATCACTCTTTATGAATACTTTTTCCCCATCACTGTTCATTTTAATTTTGGATGAAGTGTGATGGGAGCCGACTGAGTAAATCTATACCTGGCATTGGTTCTCCTCTATTTAGACCCAATGTTGTGAAAGTCTTTTGATGGTCAAAAGTTACTTTTTATTTTTAGTTAGTGTTTTCTTCCTAAATATGTTACTAATAGGACACTATTTGGACTCCCAACCCACAGTTTGTGTCCCTCTATTGTACACTGTCATAATAATGAATATTTTGTTCACTCACTGTGGCTTATCTCTGAACATTACATTTCAGGTACTGATGAGGACCCTATTATGAAGATTCTTACATCCAGAAGCAATGCTCAGCGTCAGCAAGTTGCCGTAGCATTTAAGACTTTATTTGGCAGGGTAGGTTTACAAATAATAATTCTACAAGATGGGCAAACCTAGGTTGGCAGTGAGCCAAATGATTGTATGCACTGAATGGCCAGAAAAATAGAAACCTTGCCTCTGCAACAGAATTCTGTTCCATTTTATACATTTATATTTAAATATTGTAGCTATTTAATAAAAAGATTTTATTTTTGGTGAGGCTCCAATTTTAGTTTTCTACGTGCATCCCGCGTTAGCAGTGCTGAAGCATTTCAATGCAGCATTTTGACATTTTCAGCCGATTTGGACTTTGTATTTATTTATTTTCTTTGTGTTTTCAGGATCTTGTTGATGATCTCAAGTCTGCACTTACGGGTAAACTTGAGAAGATGATTGTTGCACTAATGACGCCCTCAAACATGTATGATGCTCATGAACTTAGACATGCAATAAAGGTATGTTTTTTTATTTGTGTGTGAATGTAAAATATCAATGAATGTTGAAAAACATGCAGTAGAGCATGCAGAGTTTTCAAGTGAGAAACATAACTGTGTGTTCAATCCGATCACAAAATATGTGGCAATACATCGAGGGCCCAGCTGTCTTCATGAATGTTGTATCCTGCTTGCTTTGTCTAAGGACTTGTAGGCATGCTCCTTTGTTATTGATCTTACGAAAAAGAGCAAGGGATTGACTGTTCAACACAAGGCAAAACATTTATTATGATAAATTATGCTGAAGCTTGAGCAGCTGCTCTTGTTAAGTCACAAGTCCTTGAGATTTTTGTACATGCCATTATCTGTTTGTTTTCCAGGGTGCTGGCACTAAGGACGATGTGCTCATTGAAATTCTTGCTTCAAGATCTACGAGTGAAATGAATCTCACCAAAAAAGTCTTCAAAGAAGGTATGCAGAGCGTGATTAAACTGTGCTGATGATTTCTACTATTCTAAAGTGTAATATTTATTTGCAAAGGTTTTTTCTGCTGTCTTTGCAAAATCAGCTAGTGAATAAAAAGTTTAACAAACCACCAAAGTTAAAGGAGGAATTCTGTCAAAAAAACATTTTTCTACGTTGGGTATAAGAGGGCATGGTTTAGTAGTATGTCTGTTTTATAGGCTGAATTCATGTTTTTGCAGTGAATTAGCAAACGCATGTCAATTGCGTTAAGGGAGCCCTTTAATTTTGAGTCTGCCAACGCAGAGCAACACAGGTTTTAATGGACCTGCACTTTAGTTTTTTGGCGTAGCACACCGCAATTCACATCTGTGCGTTGTGGTGTGCTAAAACACAGGTCCATTGTTATGTGTTGGGGATGTGCATTTTGCTGCCTGTTAAACAATGCCAGAAAGAGCAGTCAGACTCCATGTTTGCCTCATGACAGATTTCTTTTAACAGTGGTCCTAGTATAAGTCAATACACTGCAACATACATCCAAGATTCATGGTTTTTGTATTGGCATATAGTGTTTTCCCGTTAATTACAAAATCCTCCAAACTGAAGATACGCTTGTGTAAATGTTATTTTAAGTTTACCATGATTACCATATTTAAAATTCCATAATAGGGTATGTAGCAGTTTGAGAAGGGTGATAAGGCCTACATCAATATCTTAATGGAGAACTCTAAGCAGAAATGTTATATCAACCCTTGCAGTGGGGCTACCCCCGCACTGCAAGGATGAACTATCTCGAGGACTCCTAGACTGCTGCAGCGGAGGGGGAGAGATGGTTAAGGGACCGGTCTAAAAGCCGGTCAGCTCAGAAACTCGGGTGAGTTGACCCTAGGCAAAAACGAGCAGTTAACCCTTACAGTACGATGGTAGCCCCACTGCAAGGGTTAATCAAATTTCTGCCCAGAGTTATTCTTCAGTGTAAGAAGGTGCAATACATTTTGCTACAATCTTGGTTGCAGTGACTTTTGTTTAAATATAAATGCACTAAATTATTATAATAATCTAATAGTCTATCCTGAATTTTGCTGTTCTGTGCTGTAGAACACGGAAGTGAGCTGGAAGATGGCATAATTGGAGGTACATCTGGATATTTCCAGCGGATGTTGGTAGTTCTTGTCCAAGTAAGTATTTTTATTAGTAGTAGTAAATAAAAGTATGCCCATTGCTTTAATGGTAGAAATGTGCACATGCTGTCCAAACATTATAGCACATTGCTGTCAGAAGACATTTAAAAATATAGGTTTGTGTCCTGCGGGAAATAATTCTAGTGTATACTTCTGCATGTAATGTCAGTAGATCAGCTATGTAGCCATAATTAGTAGCGGTTCAAAATTGCTGTTAGTTTTATGTTGCTCCTTAGATAAGTCACATTCATACCTGAGCATTTTGTGGCTTTGAATGCCTAAGCACTACAGAGCTCAGCAGAGAGCATTCTATTGTTTTCAATGACTCCTGTTCACACCTGAGTGTTGTTGTTTTGTAGCAAAAAGCAAAGTCAAGCACTTTGACCCCAATAGGCTTCAAGGATAGCACCTGAGAAATGGGCAAAAAACGCATATAATACACACTTTTTTTTTCCCTCCCAGGGAACTAGTTTTGCATGGACTAAGAATAAAACGGTAATGCCTAAACAATTGCAAAAGCGCCTGTACAAACACTAAAAAAAACAACCAAAGATGTTCAGCTCAACTGTGAATGGGGCCTAATCAGCAGCAGCAACACCTGGCATAATATAAGAATGGCTGAATATGTGAACTGCATGCAGTCCAAGTGGTCTTGGTGGGATACCCGTAAAGTCAGAGTGTGGGGTATTTTTCATATTTGGGGGTTTTATGCTTTGGGGAAATTTCCAAAAGCTAGGAATCATTACCCGTAGCTTGTATGGCTAAATCCTGTTTACTTCGACTTATAAAAAGGCATAACCCTATATTTCAGTGCATTTATTGTGCTGGACTGTAAAAGCCTTTGCACAATTTTTCATAGAATAATATCATAATTCTTAACCAAGAACAAATGAAAAAATAGATATATTGTAACCTGCACATATAGGTGCACAACAAAAAAAATCTTGTAAATAGTTGGTGTGGTTTAGGCTAGGTTCACACCTAGGCGACACCTCACCGCGTGGCAACCGTGCACAATTCCGCGCGGACTGCCGTGCGGTCAGGAGTCGCCAAGGTGTGAACCGGTCTCGCGGTGGGTGTCATTGTTCTTCTAAAACAGCCGTGCGTCATGTATCACAAAAAAAAGGTACTTGTACCTTTTTTCTGCGATTGCGCACGGATGTCACCCCATTGAAATCAATAGGGCCGCGCAGCAATCGCTGCTGGCATTGTACAGGACCGCGTGATCCCGGGTGTAGTGCATGTGTGATCCTAGCCATAATGTAAGATTGCCATATCTGCCTATGGTATTTGGATAACACAATAAGAAAGCATGTATTACAGTTTCAAAGAGATTTTTCTGTTTTGCAGGCTAATAGGGATCCAGACTCTAAGGTTAATGATGCTCTTGTTGAGCAGGATGCCCAGGTCAGTGTCTTTTTCATGTTGCTCGCTATTCTCACCTTGGTTGATGAGAAAGACTGACATTAATGTTTCAACCATGCCTTAAAGGGATGGCTGTGTGTTTTTGTATGTTTCTGCTTTGTGAAACGCAAAATTGTGATGTTATATTCATTCTGCTAGGATTTATTTAAAGCCAGAGAAGTGAAGCGGGGCACAGATGAAGAGAAGTTCATTACTATTTTGGGAACTCGCAGCAATGCCCATTTAAGAAAAGGTAATTTATTGTTATAGATCATTGCAATGACCCCTACATTTACAAAGGCTTTGGTTACACCTGGAATTATTGTTTTTGCTAATGAATCACATTTCTTTTTGTTCTATGGTGTCATTTGAATTTCTATAGCTACAGGTGAAACTCGAAAAATTAGAATATTGTGCAAAAGTTCATTTATTTCACTAATGCCACTTAAAAGGTGAAACTAATATATGAGATAACTAAAACTAAACACTAAAGGTGATCAGCGCCAGTAAGTGTAATGTGGAAATATGAGCTACCAAGCACTAAGGATATGACTAAATATCTGTAAAATGTGAAAAAACAATATTGTGCCGAGCTAATAATCATACATATCTAATAAATTAAAACATATATAAATGAGTCACATATATGAGCCTTCAAACAAATGAGGCATAAGAAATATCTACACACATACAAAAAAGCAATATAGGCAAAAAAAGTCCCAAGGAAAAAAACAAACGCAAACAATGGTGATTGTGCAAAAAATTCCTCAGATGATTCGCAGCCAATGTGCATATAACTCTCAGAGCTTTTTTGTATGTGTGTAGATATTTCTTATGCCTCATTTGTTTGAAGGCTCATATATGTGACTCATTTATATATGTTTTAATTTATTAGATATGTATGATTATTAGCTCGGCACAATATTGTTTTTTACTAATATATGAGATAGACTCATTACATGCAAAGCAAGATAGTTCAAGCCGTGATTTGTCATAATTGTGATGATTATGGCTCACAGCTCATGAAAACCCAGATCCACAATCTCAGAAATGTTTTGGCAATGTGGGAAGGGGCCAAGTCCTGCTGGAAAATGAAGTCAGGTTTGCCTCAGCTCCCCACCTTGACTCTCAACCCATGGATCCACGGCGAACTATGCAATTGCTCCACTTCTTGAAATCCCTTCCCCCCCCCCGGCCCAACTCTCTAGACCATTGTCCCCGTTTGAAGCTGAATGCTCCCTAGAAGGCCAGGCCCGACATGCCCTGTCCTTCTGCTACAAACTCCTGCTCTGCAGCAGCACGCCTGACAACCTGTGGTTCCTCACAAGGTGGGAGGAGGATCTGGGGATCCAGTTCGCTCCGGGAGAACGTTCGAAACTTCTCACATTATCTTACCAATCCTCCATTAGCAATAAGTACCAGGAGACCGGATACAAACTGGTCACTAGATGGTTCAAGACACCTCACATACTGCATTCCATGTACCCCCAGACTCCAGATGCCTGCTGGCGTTGCCGCGCCCCTTCTGCGGACATTCTACATATATTCTGGTCACGCCCTTTGCTCGCCACATTTTGGGACCAAGTCCGAACCATCACCCAAAAGTTCACTGACCTCCCGGTCCCCCGAGACCCGGCCTTCTTCCTCCTGCATCATAATGACATATCGACCAAGACATACAAACGATCTGTCGTGCCCCACCTGGTTAATGTAGCCCGAGCGTGCATACCGGCTCGATGGAAAGACCCCGTACCGCCCAATATACCCCAATGGCTAGACAGGATAAATGACATATACCTTATGGAAGACCTCACCAGCTCGCTCCATAATACATCCGACAAGTTCGGCAAGACCTGGTTTTACTGGATTGAGTTTCTCCACTCTCCAGAGTATGATGCCCTGCGCCTGGACTCTGGGTCATGACTCACCAAACTGAACCCCCCTATTGATCCTCTCCCTCTGCTTCACCTGTCCAACCAGCGCCCTGGTACCCCTCTCCCCTTGTACCCCTCCTTACCTCACAACCCCTCTTTTCTCCCCCTCTACCCTTTCCCCAACTTCACCTGCTGTTATACCCCCCTACAGACCTCTGTGGTAGTGCCGCGACCGGCCCCTGCGGTGGGCCTCGGCTCCCCCGCTCCTGACTGGGTAATTACCCTGGATCCTTACATATTACGAGGTCCGACAGTAGGGGTCCCGCATTCACTTAGCACACACAGATTGGAGGTTTCCCTTCCCTAAGTGTAACTATAACTCAGCGGCATTCTGCCTACCCATATCACCGGGCTTATTTTCATGCTTTGATGTATCCCAATAAGTTTCCTTCAATCAAGTATTTGCTCTAATAACATTTTGTGGTGTCACCTGAAAGAACTAACAAAGGTATAAGTTCAGTTCCTAGTGACTTTACTCCTAACCGGTGAAATTAACCCAAAAGACGTCCCTAGCAAGAGAAAAAAACACTATAGAAAGTTCAATCAAGAATCCCCAGGCATCTGATACATAGTATCCAGCACAAATCACTTTAGTCCCAGCGCTGTTCTCTCTGGAATTGAGAACCACTTGACAATACAATAATACTGATCAGCAAGCTCCTCAAAGGTTCTGAATGTTGTTTGGCACGAATGGATTATTGCAATAATCATTTTTAAAGGTGTGGGGTTAGTAGGTATCAACTGTGCAGTCAGTTTATGTGCTAAATTTGTGTTTATTGTGTATGCTATTTAACTCTCCGACTCCCCCTTATGTAGCTGCACTCTGTTCAAGAGCCTCTCTTGGCTGAACAAATTGCTTTCTTTGTCCCGCATTCACGCCCCTATACCATCATCAGGATCTAGGCTGCGACACCTACTTTTACATTGTTACTTATTTGTTTTCCCCGTTGTGTTTTTCCTTCCTGTCCATGCTTGATGTATATTTTGAGCAAGTAATGACATGTCTGTACTACATATTTGGACACCCCTTTGGAAAACCCGTTTTGTATACGGAAAAATGCCTTCTTAAATAAAGAATTTACAAAAAGAAAATGAAGTCAGCATCCCCATAGAGCTCGTCTGCGGAAGAAAGCATGAAGTGCTCCAAAATCTCCTGGTAGACGGCTAAGTTACTTTAGTGAAATAAATGAACTTTTGCACGATATTCTAATTTCACCTGTATGCAAATGTTTGTGTTTTTGTTTTTCGTGGTTAGTTATTTACTGAAATTCTTGGAAGCAATCTCACTTCACTACATGAGTAGTTTTATGTATCACATTTACATGAAGTTTTAGTGATTTTTAAATGTGTTATTTTATACGGCAATGCAAAGTGCAGTAATGATTTGCAAAGTCATGTTCTCCATACAACTGAATCCGATTTGCTTTTGTTGTAGCCAGATCTATAAAATATGAATTTTGATTAGTTGTCATAGGTTACTGTATTTTATTTGATAAAATATTCTCGCAAAACAAAAAAGGGTGCTAGAAAAGTATCCTCTGTAAAGGTGCCCATACACTGCACGATAATCGCGGAAAATCCCGCGATCGTATGATCGTGCAGTGTATGGAAGGTGTGTGACCGTTTCTACTGTACGGTTACTTTCAAACTGCTTTTTATCACAAAAATGATTTGGACAGATAAACATTTTCTACCATAAAAATGGTACAAGAACATGGTAAATCGTTGGAATGTTATGAGGGTGCCTTGATCCAGTCACTTGTATTGTAAATACTGGTTGAAAGTGGTTTAAAGTACTAGAAAATGGTCATGTGCAGGGGTTATAAGGAAACGGTACAGATGTGGAAGATAAAAATAAAATCCAGTGTAGTGAGTGGCATTCCCTTGTATTAGCCATGGCAGGTTTGTGCTGCTAGGAATTTAAACAGAGATCTTGGTTCCATGGAACATATAAACTGCTGCACATTTTAAAGTGTATGTAAACCTAAACACAAAGTAATTTGTCATTCATTGAGGGGCACAGGATTCAGAGACAATAGTGTTATACTGCAGCCTACAGGAGTATTTGGATAAAAAAAAAAAGCCTTATATTACTTCACCCATCCCCCAGCTTGCTTTTGCTTTTTTGCTAGTGTTCTTGAAGAATGGACATATTTTCTCTGAGAAAATTTTAGGCGTTTTGAATAGCCTTTTCTCTTCCTGTTTCCAAGATAAATTTTTTTTTTCTTCAGTGAAGACTTAATCTACCAGCAGCTTGAGCTGGTCTCTTTATGCAGCTGTTCAGATTGGTATATGCTTGGCAATATCTTTGGAGACAGTAGCTGGACTTTGCTAAACTGGATTTTTGCGCTGGCCTGACATATATAATGTGCAATCAGGTGAGTGGTAACAAAAAATATAAGTGTTTAAATATAGATCAGATGAACAATCAAATTTTAAAGGTAAAATAGTGTCCAATGGTGTCATATTCCTGAAGGGACATAATTTAAGCTGAGGAGAAACCCGATGGATGTAGCCCGATTAGCCGTATCCAGGAGAATAGTTAATCGGAAGAGAGGTGGACCCCCGTAGGGGATGCACTCAACAGATATCAGAGAGATAACAGCTTATCCGGTTTTTCCTCTTTTTTTTGGATCCTCCTTTAGTGCCAGTTTGTCCTATAGCGCAGATTACTTACTCTTTCCAATGTAAACAGCTATTGCAATTTGAAATGGGCAAATTGCACACACCCACTGCCTCTGAGCCTCTCCGACCCATCCAGCAGCGACTCACTGTCCACTGACCCGCCCTGCTCTCTGGCATCCCTGTCTCAGAGCAGCTCTAGCGCATGAAAGCTGGTCTGTGTCCCTTCCGATGCCCTTTGCCGATACAGGCGGGGAGTGCAGTGGGATTGGAGATGACACCGACTGCATTGGAGAGGAGAGTGGCAACGTAGAGTCTGGGCAGTGGCGGCTGTGGGGGTGTGCGATGCAAGCGGCTGAGCAGAGTTGTTGGGGGAGGGAGGGGAGGGGGAAGAGTCTGGGCAGTGGGGGTGTGCGATGCAAGCGGCTGAGCAGAGTTGCTGGTGGGGGGAGGGGAGGGGGTTGGTTTGGAGAAAGTGGCTGATTCTCATTTATCAATATCGATTTTAGTTGTTGCAGCCCTAGTTTTAAGCGGTTGTCAGCCCAAAAGACAAGCCAAGACAGGGGTCATTGCAAATTGGCGAGTCCTATAATGCTAAAGGCTAGGAAGTCCGCTTCCCACTTGGTCTACCATTGGACATGGAAGACATACTTCACTTGGTATGAGGTAATAATCCGTGGGATGAATCCTGAACAGC